GNGGAAGGGGGGTAGGAAGGGGGATAGAAGGGGGATAGATGGGGGGTAGATGGGGAATAGAAAGGGGTAGATTGGTTTTTTTAGATGGGGGGTAGATGAGAAGTGCATTTGGATATTTGGACGTTGCACGGGCGAGGTCCACCGTCTACGGGGGAGGAGCTCCGAGTTGGACGTGTAGCGGGACGGAGGCTGGGAAGGAGGAGGCTCACCCACTCACTCACGCACTCACGCACTCACCCACTCACGCACGCACTCACCCACTCACGCACGCACTCACTCACCCACTCACGCACGCACTCACGCACGCACGCACGCACTCACTCACCCACCCACTCACGCACTCACCCACTCACGCACGCACTCACCCACTCACGCACGCACTCACTCACCCACTCACGCACGCACTCACCCACTCACGCACTCACTCACGCACTCACTCACTCACCCACTCACGCACTCACTCACTCACTCACGCACGCACGCACTCACTCACTCACGCACTCACTCACTCACGCACGCACTCACTCACCCACTCACGCACGCACTCACTCACTCACCCACTCACGCACTCACTCACCCACTCACGCACGCACCCACTCACTCACTCACCCACTCACGCACCCACTCACGCACTCACTCACCCACTCACGCACTCACTCACCCACGCACGCACGCACTCACTCACGCACTCACTCACTCACTCACCCACCCACTCACGCACTCACCCACTCACTCACTCACTCACTCACTCACCCACTCACGCACGCACTCACTCACCCACTCACTCACTCACTCACCTGCGCCTTAACCGCCCTCGGTAGTCCGACCACCATCTGCGGGTCCCCATCGTTCGTACGTTGGCCCCAGGAGAGGCCGCCGTACTGCGGCCGCACGTCCTGTTCAGGCAACGTCACGCGCGTCAGCCGCCCCGGGAGGAAGAGATAAGAGGGGCGCGGAAAGAGGGAAAGGGACGAACCACGAACGAGTGAAGCGGGACGCGGCGGGGGAGAAGGGAGAGTTCCCGGAGAGCTTCAAGCTCTATGGAGCAGCTACGTGGCGTGGGGAGTAGTGGTGTAGGCGCTTTGTACGGCGCTCTGCCGCAGTGGGAAAGGCGTCGGGCGCAGGTTTGGGACCCGGCCTACACATCCCCTGGGTCATTCTTCTCGAGAGGTCTACAGACGACGTGCTCGGAAGGATGTTGGAAGACTAAACATGTTCGGGACTTCATGTCGGTGGTTCGGATGGTCCTATCGCCGGGGTTGGGATGAGAGGGGTTACACCTGGTCTACATTAGATGTATGTCGGCTTCGCTCGTCCGTTTTCTCCAGGTCACCATCCCATGTCAGTTTAAAATGTTCATTCGTTAAAGCTTGACCCGAGCCAGTTGAGAGCAGGTATACCATTTGTTCCCATCTGATAAACGGTCGCGTCGTGGGGTGACGGCGTCCGCCGTTACGACGCCCAAAAGCCCGGTTCCGCGAAAAGTACCCGTTTGCTGATCTATAGTTTAAAGTTTAGATGGAAACGATTTTGCATCTTTGGGGATTTTGGCTAAGTAGACCCTTAGCCCTGGTGCTGTTCGCGGCGCGCGCGGCGCCATTGAAAAGTAACTGGCAACGATACTCACCTCCTCAAAATCCCCAATCACGTTAGTTGCCTGCACCGACACCAAAGGGAATGATAACATCCAAGGGTTTGGCTGTTGGCTCACGATAACCTCTGGTGTGCCGACATTCTGCGATACTGGCACAACCCCAAGGCAGCTCACCGCTACGTTTGATGGCATCACTCTGTCAGGCTACAAGATTGAGCTCCGACGCATGCACCCTAACTTGTTGTCGAGTGCAAGTTAACTTCTGTGGCCGACCTGCTAGGCACATGCACTCCTCATAAGATTTATTTCGTCGAGTCCTATGTTTTTAAGTTTTTAATTTAAAGATCATGTACAAATAATATACAGGGTTATGTTATAACGAGTTATTGCTGCAAATGAGCATTGTCGCAGGAGTAAAGGTAAGCGCACGATAAGCTTGTCCAGAGCATAGACGTTAACCCAACTTCGGTCTATACGCGTGTCAGCACGTGGGTTGCCTGTCGTGAGCGTGGAGACTCCCGGACGCGTCCATCACCCACGACGTGCTGGTGTACGGATCTACAAATTTTTTACTCCCCTTCGACCCATCTTCACAACGCAGGACATCACGTGCCTTCACAGGTTCTCGCATTCTTAATCCTGTACGCTTGGTATCAGCTTCATTTGCAGTGGCAAAACCTTTATTTACACTTCGGCAGCAACGGCCTGCCGTATAAAAGCAACGGCTTCGAAATACACGTGCGCTAACCTTTATAAAGTCCAGCTCATATCTAAACTCTCTGTTTCTCATTACCATATCTGCACACACGTCATGGCAATTATGACCTTAAATCTTAGCGCTATTCGCAGCTATTCTCATTTGTTTTTGTTGTATTTTGTTTTTGTTCAGGCCTTTCCTCTCGCGCATCGAGATACTGTCAGCAGATATGAACGTGTTCATTGCTCACTGGCTGGACATCCAATTGCTTGCAGAACGCATCCCTATTTTACTTATGGAGATTTTCCCTAAAAATACCCTAAAATTGGTTTACAAGCCAACCTGGCGCACATCAACAACCAAACAGCCGCGGCAAGGCGACCGTTAGGGGACAAAAAACGCTTTCCACCCGTCTTGAGTAACAAGCCCGGGCCCACCAAAGGGTGCGCTTAGGTGCTCTTGGCCTTCCTAAAGCACGAGCCCCCCGGGGAATCATCATCTACCGGAAGCATCCGCCTCGCTTACATATAATTTGCTAGAACTTAAAAAGCAATTGTTGACGACTAAAATTTCATTAACCCTGAATCAGCACGCATACGTACATACATACGTACGTACATAGGTATGTACACAACATATACATACATACAAATGGGATGCGGTCTACAGCCGCGTCTTTGAGTGCAGCAGATCCACGAGACGGCTGGAAAGGGGCTCCTGTCTATGGCAGGCCAAGGTGCAACCGAGACGCTGTGAGCTCATCAACATATGCAGGGCCCCGTACGGTTAACAACAAACCTCGAGGGAGCGAACCGTGCGTGCGAACGTGTCTGTCTGTGTGTGTGTGTGTGTGTGTGTGTGTGTGTGTGTGTGTGTGTCTGTGTGTGTGTGTGTGTCTGTGTGTGTCTGTGTCTGTGTGTGTTTTAGGATACAAGATGGCGTCAGCAGGGGCGACACCCGCGGGAGCACGACAGCGCACGCACCACTCACCGGCTCCTGTCAGGCGAACTGAAGACGACACGACGTTTCGCCCGCCTACCCCACCATCACAACCCGCCGCAAGACACGAAAATCATCCGCCCTTATCCGTCCCCCCCCCGGGCCCCCTCACCCCGCACACGCAGCACTACTACTAGGGGGCCGAAACCTCGCGTAATGCACATACACAAACACGTCCCGGTCCTCCTACCCCTACATCCCCCCCGCCTTGCCCTCTTCTTGCCCTCGTTCCTCCTCCTCCTCCTCCCCCTCCTCCTCCTCTTCCTCTTCCGAATCCGTTGGCGGAAGCTCACGATTCATGCGCCGTCTTAAATCCTCAATCGCCGCCTCGTCTTCCTCCTCCTCCTCCTCCGCGCCTTCTCCCGCCCCTCTGCCTTCCTCGTCCTCCCCACCACCCCCGTCATCAGCATCATCATCATCATCATCATCCGCTGCAGCGGCCCACCGGCCCGCCGACGCCACCGCCAGAACATCCTGCGCCAGGGCGGCACCGCCGCCAGGCCGCTCCGCCGGCGGCCTGCCCGCCAGGTAGTCGTTCTGGGCGGCAATGACCGCCGCCGCCGTGGCGCAGGTGCCGTACCGCGCCAGCAGCTCCGCATTCGTGGAGAAGAACGAGTGCCCCCTGTAATGGGGGAGGAGGGAAGCGGGATAAACGGAACGCAGGACAGCAGCGCGACTGTCAATGTCCTCATATCCTTAGCCCAGCGGTACGGCACGGTCCCGATGCTATACACAAACCCACGGGGGCGTGTGTGTGGGGGGGTGGGGTGGGGGTAAGGGGAGGGGTAGGACGAAGCAGAGACGAGATTGACGAGATTGCTCCAGATTCAAACCAAGGAGTCCATGATAGGGGTTGGGGGGATGACGAGCCACAGATGGGTGATGACGAGCCACAGATGGGGGGTTGGGGGGGGGAGGTACCCCAGCCCCTACTGTCTGATTGTCGAAAGGGGAGGGGTTGACACACGGCAACATGGCCCGGGGGGGGACCGGAGGAGACCCGGTGACGTCCCCTCCTCCTCCCCTTCCTCCTCCTCCTCCCCACCCCGCCCCACCCCCCGGGGCTCCCCACACGAGAGGGCGGCAGAGAAGGGGGGCAAGCGGGGGAACGAGTGACGAGCCACGAACGAGTGAAGGTGCTGCCAGGGGGGCAAGAGAGTAACAAGAGGGGGAAGGACAGCTTGCAGGGGCCCCGCGGGTTGCGGCCGCCTCCCACCCTGGAGCTCCATGGCCGCATCAGCCCAGTACGGTGGGGTGGTGTGGAGGGGGAACTGTGCTGGTGCTGGTGTTGCTGTGGGTGCTGGGGAAAGGGAGGGGGAGGAAAGGGCAGGAGCGCGCGAACAGCCTCACCCATGCACCCACCCGCCCACCCACTACTCCCCACCCACCCACCATTTGAATCTGGACAGCACCGCGACCGCCTCCTCCCGGAGACCGCAAATGAACAGCGCCGCCGCAAAGGCCTCCGCGCAAGAGAGCTTGCAGGGCCGACCTCGTTACATTACAACGAACCAACCAACGAACAACGGAATTTTTCGAAACAACGGAATCGGAAACGGAGGCGGGGTGAAGTTGGGTTGGGAATCCGACGCAAGGGGGGTGGCATGGATGCATGCGTGTGTGTCTGTACGGGGTGGGTTGGAGCTACTTTCCCCCCCCCCGGCCGCCGCTGCCGCCCCCTGTAGCTATCTATCGCCGTTCCCATGCACCCGCCAACGCAGCAGCCACCCCAATGTACAACCCCCGTACGGCAATACACGATAAAAACTGGCTTGGGCTGGGGAGCCAGGAACACGGGTAATGGGTTGGAGAGTTCGTGAAGAGGGAGAGAATTTTTTTTTGAAAATAACTGTGTGTATATATGTGTATGTATGTGTATGTGTATTTTCCCTGAGCGCGGGAAACAAAAGCAGAGGGAGATGGGAGATGAGCGAATCCACTAGGAGGATAAACTGTTGGATGGGAGATGTCATTCATTGGGCTAACACGGATGGATACACGGCCCTGGCGGGGGAGACATACACACATACACACACACACGTGAGGTGAGCAGACACCCCATCATAGCAGGCGTATTGCTCCAGTCGCCCCCCCTCTTGCCCCTCCCCTCTCCCCCACAGCACTCCCACCCCACACACGTACATACATACCGTAGTTGACGGGGTTCGCGGCCACCAGGAAGGGCAGTAGCCGGGGAGCAGCGCCCTTGATGCGGCCTGTACGAGGGGAGAAATACGGCGGCAGCAGCAGCAGCAGCCGTAGCAGCGGCGGCAGCAACGTGTTGGGAGGCGGTCATCTGGCTACTGGGGGGCTACGTGGAGGCCGGAGGTGGTGGGTGTGCACACCGGTGTGTGTGGGTGCAGTACAACCCCCCCCCTCCTCCCCCTCCTCCTCCTCCTCTTGCTCCCCCCCCACTATTCACCCTCCACTCAGCCGCCATCCTGGTGCGGTGAAAGCCAGCGGCGGCGGTCTACTGCTTCGCACCCGGACCCCCGCTCACTCACCCACACCCGCCCAAACCCAGCCGGCCCCTGCGGGCCCCCCCCAACCAACCCACCCACTACCCCCACTCACTACCCCCACCCACTACCACCCACTACCCCCACCCCCCTAGCAGCCGTATCCGTATCTCACCGAAGGGTACATCGTCTAGTCGGTTCCACGAGCAGTCCACCACTGCCAGGCCCCGGGAGCGAATCAGGGCAGCGTCCTCCGGGGACACGCTGCGCTGACCTGCAGTACAACACGCGTGCAGACAGACATACATACAGACACGTACACCTTCGGCCAGCGAGCAAGTGAGCGGGAGGGGGAGAGGGGAGGATTTTTAATATACACACAGATAGACATACATACAGACATACAGGGGGCCCACCTGTCGGCGAGACATCGCCACCATAACCAAGGAACCCTCTGTTTCTCACTCTGCCTCTCCACCGCAGCAGCCCCCACCCCACCCGCGCCCTCCCACATGCCTCTACATCAGAGCTGCTACTGCTGCTACTGCTGGGGCTCCCCACATGCCCAGGGGCTAGACAACTTTTGGACGGTGGAAACAATCTGGTGAAGTAGGGAGACATGGAGAGAGGGAGGGAGGGAGGGAGGGAAGGGGGGAGGGAGGGGAAAAACGGGACTTGCGGGACTTGTGGGTTTGCGCTCTCGTACGGCAGCTTAGGCCGACGGCACTGCCCCTGCGCGCCCTGACAGCACCTGCAGGGCTGAGGATGACTCCAGGGAAGGTCTGACCCAGTCGCAGCTCCCGAACCAGCCCCTGACGTGCCAGCCGGGTGCCGGTGCAGCGCCTGCGGTCGCACTGCCCCAGGTCCCACATCGCCAGATGGACGGGGAACTTGGCGGCGGCGGCTGCGGCGGCGGCGGAGCTGGAGGAGGAGGGGTGGCCGCTGTCGGCTGGCGGGGCCAGGTCCGGCGGCGCAGTGCCGTCATCGCTTGTTCCGCCAGAGTCACCGTCGTCGTCGGTGGCGCCGGCGGCGGCTGCGGCGGCGGTGGTGCCGTCCTGTTGTAGGCGTTGTTGGGCGTTCTGTGTCGGCAGGCGGTCCTGCCGGGACCGTGCCCGTACATAAGCCGCGTGGGCAGCGACGCTGGTGGACTCTCCTGCAGCGGTGGCATCGCCATCGTCGTCTTCCGTAGACCACGGGGCCCCGGCTTTGTCTCCTCGGGAGTGGCCGCGGCGACCGCCGCCGCCAGCGGCTCGGGGGCGGTGGTGCCCGCTGCGCTCCTTTGGGCGCGGCATGCTGATATATTCCGGGAATTAAGTGGTGTTGACTCGACGCTTTGTGAGTTTGTGTGCCACGTAGCGGTCTCGTTTTCGCAGCGGTTTCAAGTCCTGACTTGCTACTGGGGACGAGAAAATGTTAAGCGGGTAATGCATAAGGCTATGATATCATAGGATCGGAGAGCAGACTTGATGGGCCTGGCCGAAACGGGAGGCCGAGTTGACAGAAGTGTACAACTGTACGTAATTATTCGCCTTTTGAACATTTCACATGGAATCCACGTTGCGGGCAAATTGGTTTATGTAAAGTCTTTTGCACGTTGAGCGTCTGTTGTGAGCGATATTGTGAACAATCCAAAGATATTTGTCTTGCAGTTGACTGAGCTGTACTTCGAAACGGGTCATCACCATGGCCCGCGCGGCCAACAACACCCTGCTCATGGGCAAGCACTTAATCATGGCCAGGAGCTTGCTGGCGCCCGCGCTACGTGAGGGGTAAGTTCGAGGTCTTGCAGCCGTTTTGGGGCTAGCGTAAATCTTGAAGTGCAGTAAGTCGCACTGCAAGATAATATTACTTTAGCTGCTTGCGCAGAGCTTGGGGCAGGCACCTTTTTTAGTCGTTATTACGGGAACGTGGCGATGTAGCATGTCTAGCGACGAGCGGGGCTTGCTTCCTCTGGGAGAATTAATTGAATCCACGTAAGGACATTTATCGCACATCTGGACGATGCTGAACGCCTGTTTGCCTGCTGCGCCCGATCGTCGCCACCGCTCGTCACCCAAGCAACACGTCCGGCGCCGCTTACTCCGTTGCAACTGTATGCCTTAATGTCCATCGCGCTAATCGGTTTTCCAATCCATTTGTTTAACTGCAGGATTGCGAGGCTGCTCCATGGCAGCCTGTCCACTCTGGGCGATGCCATGTCCGCGCATAGCCGAAGCTTCACGACAGGCAACGGTAACGGTGGCGCAGACAGCTTGTTCATCTCCGATATCAACCTTTCAGGGCACCGCACTCCGCTTCTGCTTGGATTAATGAACTACTTCGAGAAGCACCTGCCCAAAGTGGGTTACTTCCAGCCCATTACAGGAAGACCATCTCCAGACTCAAAGCTGAAAGCGGATCGAACCCTCGAACTGTGAGTTGGCAACCAATACTCTGAGAACCGCGGATCTTGAATAACGGTCAATTCCTCCCGTACATCCACATCAATTGCCGTACACACGTTAATGTCCAGGGGACTCCTAACTCATTGCAGTACAGTCGCTGTACGGCAGCAACCCAGCTTCCACGACGAACGGCGTCTGGAAAATGATGTCGGCTCCGAAACCACACATAATCCGGATGCCCCTTCAGGAGGATGAGTGCGCGAAAGAGGCACGTTAGGAGTAACGACGCCCCCATGCGCCCCCAGCACCCTACTCATCGTGCTAGAGAGGAAGCAGCTGACCGGTACCCAGAAAATTATAAACTCTGCAACGTCATCCTCTCCCATGTCTCCCATGTCCTCCCATTCCTATTCCCACAGTATGCATAGTGTGTTCAAGATGACTTGTGAACCAGATCACATGGTTGGCGTTCAGGAAGCGGAGGCTGCGCGGGTAAGCTCCTGGCTACGAGGCTGGCGCTGCTGTTAAGCTGGGGGAGGCGCTTTCCGCGGCTGCGATCAATCCCTTCTGTTCACTTTCACGTTGTGTGCGTTTCGTTAAAATTGTCGTGGAGCGAGTCGCGCGGCCAAAACACATTTGACATTTGACAACTTGAGAACTTGGAAAACGTTTTCGCAGGCAATAGCCCCCCCCCCCCGCCCACAACATTGATATCCCAAGATGTCCGAAAAACCCAAAAAGAAACGCCACAAGGCCCACCACCGAAAACACACACGCACACACACGTCCATGCTCCCGCGTCCCCGGAGGTCACCAGAACCGCGGGCTTTCCATCAGCCGTGGCACGAGCTTTACCCCATCCCGCTGCGTCGCGCACAGCGTCCCCGCCCCGCCCCCGCCACTGCTTCTGTTGCTATTGCCAACGCGTCTCGCGCCCCCGTACCTTTCAGCATCACACCACCGCCCCCACATCCTTGCTTCCGCAATCATCCAACCATGGGGCTCCGAAACCCTCATACCTGTGCGCGCAGCAACGCCGATAATAGGCACATTTGAGCGCTCTCCAACCCCCCGTTTCCCCGTTTTTTGTCTTGCGCAGCTCATTGCGGCTGGCAAGCAGGCGGAGCTTCTTGACCGCATTTATGCTGCGTACGTGTCGTACAAGGAAGGCCATGATGTCGTACTGGTGGACGGTCCGGGGCAGATGATGGGTGACACGGAGCTGGACGCGCAGGTGCAGCTAATAACTACTAACAATAATTGCACTCCTACACGTGACATGCGCCGGGATTGTTCAAGGCCGCCTGCCCCGTCCCTCCCCCCACCCTCTCCACCCCATCCCACCCCACCCCACCCCGCCCTGCGTACATCCCCACAAGTACAGCCGCACGCATCCATGCACATATCCCCGCGTTCTTTCTGGCACCGCAATTCCACATTAAATGTATACGTTGTCCTAAGTTTACAAGTGCAATTAACGATCACATTTGTGTAAAACTTATGCATGTCGTACTTCGTACTTTTGCATGCGTGGCGCTGTCCAGCTTCCGGATCACTTACATACCTACCTGCCTAAGTACCTCTCCGTTCTTCACATTGGTGATCAGTTCCCCATTGCGGCGGCCTGCCATCTACCTGCCTGGCTGGCTGGCTTGCCGGGGAAAAACTTAAGTTTTCTTGTTTGGGATCAAAGCGCCCTATCTGTATCCCCTATCTGCATACATCCCACGCCCCTCTCGCTTTCCCTCCTCGTCACCCCCACCACCACTCTTGCCCTGGCAGCAGCTTCACTCGTTTGTGGTTCGTCTTTCCCCCCCCCCAACCCGTCCGATCCAGATCGCCTCGGCGCTGGGCAGTCCAGTTCTGATGGCCATGATGGGCAACCACAGCTTTGTGGCGGATGACTACTACCAGGCCGCGGTAAGATGGGACGTGCGGTGCGGTTTCGGAGCGACCTTGTTAACCCACCCACCGTGGGGTAGTGCCGAGGTTGGGGCCCGGGATAGGGGGGATGGTGGGAGAAGGGCGGCCCCGCCCCCGCCCCCGGGCTGGGTGGGGTGGGGTGGGGTGGGGGAGTATTAGGTGTTTCATCTTGCCGTGGGGTTCAGTGGTTGAGTAAATCGGACCGGTTGGCACGGTTGTTTGCTGAGCGCGAGTGACGCAGGGGTTCCGCATCGGGCGGGTGTGCAGAGCGGGATGTATCCGCGGACTGCTTTTGCAAAATGCTCAAGCAGTGGAAGCCCTGGTTGACGTTTACGGTTCCAATCACGGTTCTTTACACACATACCATGGAAGAAATGGTTCACACTGCTCCGGCGGGATCTAACTCCTGAAGAAGTCAGTTGTGACATCGGTTGGGCCCAACCTCCATCAGCTCCGCTTTCCTTCCTTTCGTCCTTTCTTTCTTCTCCCTCATCGCGTTGCGCCACAAAACAAACTAACTGTTGTGGTACACCGTGAATGAGCGGCATTCGCGCGCGCGACAACCATACCCTGCTCCTCCTCCTCCTCCTCTTCTTCATCGTCTTTATTTTTCTTGGCCTTCATCTTCTTCCTGCCCCCGCTCCTGCGCCTGTTCCTGCTCCCGCTCCTTCCCCTCGGAGCGATGGCATACAGATGGTGAAGCGGCAGGTAAGGCAACGGGGGTGAATTACAGGCGAGAAAGCGGGAAGGGAAGTGAACTGCTGCCGGTGTTCTTCAAGAGGTTCGAGGAAGGGGAGGGGAGGAGAAAAGAGGGTTTGCGGATGTAAAGGCACTGCCGGGAAATGGGGGGATTTGGGGATAGGTAGCCGGCGTGAGGGGGGGGACGGAGGCCTGCCACCGGGGGTACTCTGTTGTTGTCAGGTGCACTTCTTATCACGGGATATTCTCACATGGTCGGGAGCTTTATCGGGGCATTGCTTTCCTGCTCCTCCGCGAACAATAAAACCCTGAAACCCCCCGTGTAATCACGTACGTATCTGCGTTTCTGTGATATCTAGATAGATAGATAGATAGATAGATAGATAGATAGATAGATAGATAGATAGATAGATAGATAGATAGATAGATAGATAGATAGATGTTTACGTGTATTTTGGGGTACTTACGTTCCTGCCCGTCGCGTGCTGTTCCTGTCCTTGCCTCACACCATTCACACCGCATTCGTAGCTCCATGGTTTGACATTCCGTGTGTCTTCTTTTCTCCCCCCTTTGGAATGCCCCTTCCCCTCGGTGACCCGTGGGTCGCAGGTGTTCAAGGACTGCAAGGTGGAGGTGCTCGGACTGGTGCTTCACAATGTAAGAGGGCCTGGGATTGAATTTGGGAAGGACGATTGTCGAATGTCGGATTTCTTTGAGTGTTTTTGTTCTTGACAGGGGTGGAAGGACCTCGCGTGAAAGGCGCGGGGGCCAAGGATGGTCATTTTACATCATTTTGACCGCCGGTGCCGCGCACCGTTACACACACACACACTCACACACACACACACACACACACGTTCCTATTCCAAACGCCCATCCCTACCTTCAAAACCAAGAATTCATTTCTCCTGCAACTTGGCTGTACGACACTGTAAATCTGATCCTCCACACTATGTGTTTCATGAACCACCTCCCCCCCGCTTCTCCCTACCCACGTCGTCGCCAGTCCAACGGGCAGGAACGCAAGTACGCAAACAACGTACACAATTCTTCCTTTCCCCCACCCCCCTGCACCCACACACACAGACTCCCTCACACCCTCCCCCGCCCCCGGCCCCCCTCCGCAGCTCCCCCGCGGCCATCATGCCATTCTGACCTCCCAGCTGCAAACCAAATTGGAGCGAGTGGGGCTGCCCTTTGCCGGCGCCCTGCCGGATGACCCCCTGCTGTCTAGTGTCAGGTGTGGCGCCGCGTGTGTGTGTGTGTGTGTGTGTGTGTGTGTGTGTGTGTGTTTACCGCCTCCACACCCTCCGCCGCCTCCGCCAGCAGCACTGTTTGTTTTTAACCCTTGTTGTTGTTGCTCGAATCATTATCTAAACCCATAACCCGAGGGGAAACCCCACGCACACCCGCCCCGGCCCCGGCCCCTGCCTCCCCCCACTCCCTTCCGTTCAGGCTGGATGACGTACGTCTGGCGCTGTCCGCTGAACAGTTGTACGGCGACTCCTTGCTCACTGACGTGGAGTTTGATGATGTTGTGGTTGCCAGTCAGCGGCTGGAGGAGCTGTTGGAGGTGCTGGGGGAGAGGCCGGGAGGCAGGTGGGGGGTTGTGGGGGGGGCCAACAACATGGGGAGGGGGGCCTGGGTGGATGAGCGGATGGAAGCCTGACGGGGGGGAGGGGTTGTGTCGGGGGGGGCGTGTGGGGAGGGAGAGGAATAGCGGCCACCGAGGCCGAGTGGGCGGTATGTGTGGGTGCATAGCGTGTGGGTACACATGTGTGGGTACAAAGCGAGAGAGCCTGGGTATTGCGGGTTTTTGTGGGGTTGGGTTCGACCGGTGGCCGGGGCGGGGTTTAGGGGACAGCTGGCTTGCAGGTTTTATGGAAGAGGGGGAGAGGGGGGCGGGGAGGGGAGGGATAAGGAGCGGAGAGTGATGCAAAATGAGGACTGGACTGGATTGAAATGCCACCGGGGTGGTGGTGGTGTGGCACACACGGGTGGCTGGGTGTGATGGGTGTGCATACACCCCTCTCCCCTCCCCTCCCCGCCCTTCTCTCCCTCTTCCACCAAACCTGCCGCCAGCTGTCCGCTAAACCCCGCCCCGGCCCCTCCCACTCTTCGTCCTAACGTATCCACACCCGCCTACCCGCCTGTCCTCCGTCCCTCCCTCCCCCCCTAGAGCTCCCTAGGGGCAGTGTCGAGATCTGGAGCCTTCCGGCAGCAGCTCATTTACCTGGTTTCCTTTCAGCATGTGATTTCCCTACCTACCCTACCCTACCTACCGTCCCCCTTCCCCATCCGCATCCCCCCTTCCTTCCCCCCCTCTTCCTCCACCCCACTCCATCCCTTCCTCCCCCCCCTCCAGGCCGCTCGTGGTGACCTCCGCTGACCGACTGGACATCGTGTTGGGGTTGTTGGCGGCGCAGCTGTCCGTGAAGGGCCCGGGGGTGGCGGGGGTGCTGCTCACGCAAGCGGGGACACAGCGGGCGGGCAGGAACTATGCAAAGTGGGTCGGTCTCGGTCGGTCAAGAGGGGGGATTCCGCCGCGCCTTGGCAGACGTACATACATACACACACACACACTTTCCGCACCGGCGGGTGGTGGAATTAGCAGTAGCAGTAGCAGGGGGGACCCACGTGCGTGTGGGCGAGTGAGTGTGTATGGTTGGTTGGTTGGTTGGTTGGTTGGTTGGATGTGCCGCGATCGTCATTTCCCTCGGCCATTTATTGCCCCCTCCCGCTCTCCTTCGCTCTCCCTTCCCGCAATGTCTGTCTTTGCTCTCTCTCTCTTCCCCTCTTCTTTCTGTACTCCACTCTACCCATCCTTCCCCCAACCCCACCCAACCCCAACCCCCACCCCACCCAACCCCACCCCAGCCAGAGCCCCCTAATTGATCCAGTGCTCTCTGCACGTGACTGACTCCCCACCTCCCGCTGGGGGCCCGGCTCGTCTGTCACCCCGGTAGCTGACAGTTCTCT